TTGTCTGGAAAGTCCCAGCCTTTTCGCTCTTAAATATTGTATAATATTGATTAAAAACTAAAATTCGGTGCAGTTATTTCCTTATTCTTTTTCAGCCGCACGGTGCTGTGAACACTTCTGAAAAACATAGGAATGAAGGTGATGATTGAACCCACTTCTTTCTTGAGTGATGGGAGGGTGATAGCAGTGGGTTCTCTTACCCCAGGAGGATCCCTGTGTCCTTCCCCTCGTGTTGCTGAGGAGGATGGACTCTGGAATTGTCGGGAAGGCGCGTGGCGTCGGCACGATCCTGGGCAGGATTTGCGGTGTGCTGGTGCCTTGCGGGACTGAGTCTGGCCATGACTTTCTCCTTTCTTGAACAGTAAAGTCTTACTCATTTTTCAGGTTAAAAAAAAAAAAAGGAACCCCTGTGCTTCCTCAAAAATAATTGTAGATCATGCAATTTCTTACATTTCAATGTAAATGAGATTTGAATGAATAATGCTAATTATTCATTCATCCTAATTCAAATCCTATTTCAATTAGCCTGTGGGCCCAATTTTACTTTCATGCAGCATGAAACCTCTTTTGATTATCAACAGAATTGCCATGTATTATTCTTGAATTTTTTTATTTTCTGCTCAGCACATGTCTTTTAAACTGCTTAAAAACAAAACAAAACAAATAGATCGTTAATACATTAATCAAATTTCATTAGCATGACATCTGAGGACATATTTTAAAGGAAAAGAAATATGTCTTCCTGTAAATATTTTCTCCTACGTACGCTGTTTGAGACAAACCTTGTCGGAGGAGGTGCTGGTGAACTGCTGGAATTTGGGAATTCAGCTCCCTGTTGGGTGCTGGGTCTCGTGTTCCTGATCTGCGCTTCACCTCTGCTGCGGGGACACTCGGCTGTGAGCTACGTCCATTCCTGGGGGCGGACTGGGCCAGGGCAGGGTGTCTCTGGCTGTGGTGGGATGGTGAGCTCAGTGTCTCACCATCTTCATGGTAAAGTGTGTCTTCCTAATCATAGAATCAGAATTGCTGTGGTTGGAAGGGACCTTTCAGATCATCGAGTCCCACCATCAGCCTAACACTGACGAAAACCACCACTAAACCATATCTCTGAGCACCGCATCTGCCCGGCTTTTAAATACCTCTGGGGATGGTGACTCAACCACTTCCCTGGGCAGCCTGTACCAATGCTTAATAACCCTTTCAGTTTAAATTTTTTTCCAAATATCTAATCTAAACATCCCCTTGTGCAACTTGAGGCTGTTTCCTCTTGTCCCATCGCCTGTTCCTTGGGAGAAGAGACCGACCTCCCCCGGCTACACCCTCCTTTCAGGGAGTTGGAGCGAGAAGGTCTCCCCTCAGCCTCCTCTTCTCTAGGCTGAACACCCCCAGCTCCCTCAGCCTCTCCTCACAAGACTTGTGCTCCAGACCCCTCACCAGCTCCGTTGCCCTTCTCTGGACACGCTCCAGCCCCTCAAGGTCTTTCATTTTGTGAGAGGCCCAAAACTGGACCCAGCCCTCAAGGTGGGGTCTCCCCAGTGCTGAGCACAGTCTGAACCTGCCCTTTGTCAGTTTAAAACTGTTGTCCCTTTTACTGTCACTACAGGCCTTGATAAAAAGTCCTCACTTTTCTTATAAGATCCCTTTAAGTACTGAAAGGCCGCAACAAGGTCTCCCTGGAGCCTTTTCTTCTCCAGGCTGAACAACCCTAGCGCCCTCAGTGTCTCTCCATAGCGGAGATATTCCAGCCCCTTGACTGTTTCCATGGCCTCCTCTGGACCCACTCCAACAGGTCCATGTCTTCTACTGAGGACTTCAGAGAATCCCCTCCCTTGCCCTGCTGGCCAGGGTACAGTTCCTGGGGCTGCAGCCCAGGGTACAGTTGGCTTTCTGGGCTGAGAGTGCGCATTGCTGGCTCAAGTCCAGTTCTTCAGCCTCCAAGTCCTCCTCTGCAGGACTTGTCTCCATCCACCCACCCCCCAGACTGTGCTGATGTTGGGGATTGCCCCAACCCAGGGACAGGACCTTGTACTTGGCCTGGTTGAACTTCATGAATTTCACATGGGCCTGCTTCTCCAGGCTTCCAGGTCCCTCTGGATGACATCCCTCCAGTGAAGAGTGCGCGTTGCTGGCTCAAGTCCAGTTCTTCAGCCTCCAAGTCCTCCTCTGCAGGACTTGTCTCCATCCACCCACCCCCCAGACTGTGCTGATGTTGGGGATTGCCCCAACCCAGGGACAGGACCTTGTACTTGGCCTGGTTGAACTTCATGAATTTCACATGGGCCTGCTTCTCCAGGCTTCCAGGTCCCTCTGGATGACATCCCTCCAGTGAGGGGTTGCCCCCCTCAGCTTGGTGCCATCCACAAACTTGCCGAGGGTGCACTCAGTCCTGCTCTCTGTCCTTGGTGGAATGATGTGAAATGAGTCCTCCAGTTGTGAGGGTGCATTCAGTCCTGCTCTCTGTCCTTGATGGAATGATGTGAAATGAGTCCTCCAGTTGTATATTCCAAAGGTGTTTGGGATTTGACAGCCTGGAGCAAGGCTGTTCTTGAAGCTTGGCTGTTGGGAGCTGCATCACCTTCCAGGTGCCATCGGTCTGAGGGGTACGAGGTGTTGCTGGGAGCTTTTCACCAGAGTAACGGCACCTCCAGCTGCCTCCCGTCTCCCTGTCCCGCTGTCCCTCCCTGCTACACTTCAGCTGTCTCATCCCAAGGCAGGATTTCAAGGTTCCTATGGTCAATGGCGCCTCCGAGGAGCCGTTCTTCCCTCCCTGATGGGCGAAAGGCCGTCACAGCTAGATGAGAAGGCTGAAGTGGGATGAAATTAATCCCATGTTTAAATTCATATTCAGACCCACATATGGGCTGGGTGGGGGAAGCTGCGCGCTTGAGCCTTTCACTGTCTGGATGTGAACAATAGCTGTGTTAAGTAACTCCAGAGATTTCCTGCAGAGAAAACCTAAAGCTAAACCTAAAGCTGATTTTTTTTTTTTCCCATGTACCTGCTCCAGATTCTTCTCTATTCTTTCTGGATGTCAGTGTCTGCAAAACTTTAATCCGCAGGAGCCAGCTTGCTGTCAGAGATCAGCCTCACGTTATTTGCATCACATCTCCTGCTCCGAGGAGCCTCCTCCGCTGCGGCTGCTGGAATGAACTTATGACAAATACAGGGATTGAAAGTCTCTCTCAAATGCACTTTCTGGCATGACTTAAATTAGCTGAAATTGCTGACATTTTGCCTTTTTGAGATGTGTGTCAGTGTCCATAGACTTCTGTTTCAAACAATGGAAAATTATTGAGTTAAATGTTGCCAGAACAACAAAGGCGGGAGACGCCAAGTGTACGTTGGGTGAAGGTTACTGCGATGTGTCTGGGTCCCGCAGTGCATGTGCTGGAGAGGCACAAACACGCAGCCTCTAACCTTGGCTGATCTCCTGAGACTGAAGGGTGCCACCATTTCAAACGCCACTTCTGCCTGGACAGCTTTTTTGCTTTCTTATTAAGTTTAATTTGGATGGGCTGAACATTTCCAATGAGAGAAGGGTTTAACGACAGGTCGTTTTGCTTGAACCAAAATGTTTGTTTCCTTAAAGCAGTTCTTTGCCTGCTGGTGGATTCTCCCATATTTGTGTCACCAGCTCTGCTCTGGACTAAACCTAAATTTAGAATGTGACAGTTTCTTGTTGAAGAGAATCAGAGCTCTTCAGCAACTTCACATCTCAGCAGCCCGAACTCTCTAATAGACAGAAGTCTTGGCTATTCAGCACGTGTCTGATAACGCTGCGTTTTGCCTCTGAAGGCTGTGGTTAACCTAAAGGTACAAGAGTGTGTGGTCAGTGTCTGGCCGTAGGTTTGTCACGCTGCTCATTTATATAACCAGTGGAATCCAGGCCGTGAATCCCGTCCCGTCCCTCTCCTGAAGCAAGCTCAGATCTGGCCAGATGCCTCGTGCCCTCCAGTGGGTGTCTCCGAGCTGGGGAGCCCAGGGGTCATCCAGCTGGTCTTCCTCTTCATGGCTGGGGAGCTGTGGTATGGGCTGACCACAGGGGTGAGGTCTGCAGATAGAAAACACACAGTGAAGAGGCTGATAAATACCTCGACAGAATTTATTGGCTGTCGAGGCAGCAGCTGGTCTCAAAGGAAAGATTCGGTGTCCTCTCTCTTAGTGCAGCCAGCACCAGTTTCCAACTTCTCTGTCGTTCACCACTGACAAGTGACCATTGACAGTGTCTGAGAATGTAAAGGCGAGTTCTTGCTTTTACTCCAGATTTACACTGGCAACAGTATTTAATGCATTTCAAATTTACTTAGTAGTTTACTTTTAGAAAAGAGTTTGGCCTTAGTGTTTTCAGTGACCGAAAATTAACTCCTTCTAAAACTCATTTGGGTTTTGTCTCATTTTTAATTGGCAAATCACGGCATGTCAGCTGGCAGATGTGTGTCCTGTTGCATGTCTGTGGTGACTAGATGGGCTGTGCAGTGTGGTGTGACTGTGGGTGCTGTGGCTTTTACCTCGATAACCCCCCTTCCAGGTGTAGGGTTCACTTGCCTTTTCAGTTCAGGGTTCTGGGGGCTCTTCAGACACAGAGAACCCCCAGAATTGTTCTGCCACCCATTATGACTCCTGATCGGAGTGAGCCCCTGGGAAGTGCTGAGTGTGGGGGTGTCTGAAGCTCTCTGTCCTCTGCTAGTGCAGAGTGAGGGTTCCAGAGCTGTTCTCTGAGTGGGGGTGCAGGGGGTGAAGCCAACTGCTGCACTAAGGTGCTGCACTGGGACTGGAACCCTCTGGTGTTTTCTACTGTTACAAAAGTGTTATTTCAGCCAATTCTGCCTACGGCGTAAGGGCAGCGCGGTTGCGTAGAAAGAAGATGTTGGGCTGTAAACCTTGGATTGATTGCACGCTCAATTGACAGCCGCTAGATTAAGTGATTCACCAGTAATCCTTCCTTTTCTTCCCATGCTTCCCAGCTAACAAATTGAACTCTCTAAATCTCTCACTTTTAGGCATCTTCCCCGTCCTTCAGCTGGTTTCGAGACTAATAAATTCCTCCTGTGATGTTTAAGCAACTCCTGAAGGATGCAGACACAGGCATTGAGTGCTGTCTTGCTAACGAGGAGGTAAGATCCCCCTCCTGGCTCCCGTTTGCACGTGACCCTGCCAGGGATTGCACTACCCAGCTCTGCTCCACCACCATCCCGTCGGGATGCTCATCCGTTGGGACCCTCACTCCCCTCCCTGGGAAGGGAGTAACGGCCCCCCCTTTCCAAAAACCTGTTCTTTTTCATAGAATCATAGAATGGTCTAGGTTGGAAGAGACCCTTGGGATCATCGAGTCCAACCATCTCCCCTACTCTACAAAGTCCTCCCCTACACCATGTCCCTCAGCACTGCATCTAAACGGCCCTTAAACACAGCCAGGGATGGGGACTCCACCCCCTCCCTGGGCAGCCTGTTCCAATGCCCGACCACTCTTTCGGTGAAAAATTCCTTCCTAATGTTCAATCTAAACCTCCCCTGTTGGAGCTTGAAGCCATTCCCTCTCGTTCTGTCACTAATTACCTGTGAGAAGAGACCAGCACCAACCTCTCTACAGTGTCCTTTCACGAAGTTGTAGAGAGTGATGAGGTCTCCCCTCAGCCTCCTCTTCCTCACACTAAACAGCCCCGGCTCCTTCAGCCGCTCCTCATACGATTTGTTTTCCAGCCCCCTCACCAGCTCCGTTGCCTCCTCTGCACTCGCTCCAGCACCTCCAGATCTCTCTTGGATTGAGGTACCCAAAACTGGACACAACACTCGAGGTGTGGCCTCCCCAGTGCTGAGTACAGGGGCACAATCACCTCCCTACTTCTGCTGGTCACACTATTTTTGATACAAGCCAGGATGCCATTGGCTTTCTTGCCCCCCTGGGCACACGGCTGGCTCATATTCAGCCGTTTGGCAACTAGAACCCCCAGGTCTCTTTCCTCCAGGCAGCTCCAGCCACACTTCCCCCAGCCTGTAGCGCTGCAGGGGGTTGGTGTGGCCCAAGTGCAGGACCCTTGCCCTTGTTGAAACTCATTCCATTGGCATTGGCCCAGTGATCCAATCCATCTCGATCCTCTTGCAAACCTTCCTCTTGCACAGCTTTTCGTAGCTGTGTGTCTCTGCATTAGGCCGGGTTGAAGCAGTGGGTTTGTTTCAGTGCTTGCACAGCTTTTTGTAGCTGTGTGTCTCTGCATTGAGCCGGGTTGAAGCAGTGGGTTTGTTTCAGTGGACTCAGCCGCCCGAGCAGTCTGTGTTTTTCTGCATCACTGCTAACTCTTCTCTTTATTTGCCAGCCCACAAACTTCTGTGCCGTTTGCAGCTCTGTCAGCAGCCATTTCCCAGTCGAGTCTGGGGAAAAGGCAGCCTCGCTGCCAGCCCTGGTCCCAGGCTTTGCACAACTTGCTGTAATTACACACAGTTGCTCTCGGTTCTAATGTGGGAATCATTTGTCAAGATCTTTGTTACTTTTAATCCACTTAATTCGGGCTTTTTTAATACTCTCTTGCACTATTTTTTTCTCACACTGTCATGATGTAATAAATCAAATGTCCCACCCAGCCCATCCCCATCGTGGCTGTGCGCTTGCCTTTGCAATGAAACATTGAATTTCACCAGAAGGGGATTACATTTAGATCCCTTAATTCTGTATTGATCGCATCCCCTTAAATTTCATTATTTTGCCTGTGAACAAATAACTCTGTAGTTGTGTGGAAGAAGTTGAATAGTTGCAAATACTAGTTTTCTTCCAGTCTCCTGGAATTCCTCCAGGTTAAGAATAAATCACTTTTAAGACCAGAGTGCCGGAGACTCATCCAATTCTGGTTTTAGGATCTTTAACCAAATATTGTTGTGATGTAAAATTTTCTGTTAATACTGTTTGACAAACTAACGTTTGACATCATCGAAGGACAGAAAGATGTCTTATCCCCTGTGCTGTAGCAGTGTTGAACAGTCCTTTCTGTGCTCAATATTTGACCAGTTTTATTTCTTAGAGCTCCAGCTGGGCCTGGAACGTTGCTGGGTTTTGTTCAGTGTAATACCTCACGCTGTTGCCAGCTGTGAGTTCCAATGATGGGGTTTTTTTACTGTTAGGTTGCAAATTTATATTGATTTCTATCCAGTACCTCTTCTAAAATTTTTGGCAGAGAGGTTTTTTAACTAGATTTTCCTTCTACTCTCCCCCAAAACACTACAAAGTACATACTAAAGTTTTTTCTGGCCCTGGAAGGGAGATTTTTAGCCTCCCTAAGGGACTGAACCCAAATCCGTACAACAGTTTGAGCATCAGGTTAGAAGTTCCATAGGTCAAGCCCTGTCTCCAGGCTGGACCTCTCACACCGCTGAGGCCACTGGGTGGTCCAGCCTTTAAATCAGAGACAACAGCAGTTGGTTCCCCCTCAGTTTGGGCAGGTGATTCATTTCTGCCTGGAGAAATGGCCTTGCCCCGTGGAGAGCCATTTCTCTCTGTGGCTGTGGTCGAGGCCGAGGTCACCAGCTCAGGCTCTGACAGGGCTTGGCCACCTCCGTGCAGCTCCAATAAATCTCCCTCTCGGCGGTGGGATGTCACCAGCAGCGCCCATAAAACATCCCGGGAGCTTAGCTCCCCATCCACTGTGTTTTGGAGACTTCAGCCTCAAGTGTAAATGTTTTTATTAACAATTGAAATACAGAACAGCCGCGTCTTTCTCTCCTGCTCGGGACTAGCTTTGGGAGCACGTTTTGTTTGTGAAATGGCAATTAACTGCTGCTTTTTTTTGGTAACAGACTTCTCAAAAGCCTGCGGAGGAGACGTAGGATCTTCAAGCAATTTCTGGCAGCTGGAGTTTCCCGATAGCAGGTGATGCTACGAACGTGGTTGTGTTTGGCTGAAAACTTCTGACTCTTGGTTGAATGTTTGTGATGTTTAGGCTCAAGCTGATAAACTCATATATATTTGGGGGTTTTGTTTGTTTTTTAGATAAAATTATTTGAGCACCATGAGTTGGAGTTTTCTGACCCGTCTGTTAGAGGAGATCCACAATCACTCCACCTTTGTGGGCAAAATCTGGCTGACGGTGTTGATTGTGTTTCGGATTGTTCTGACTGCGGTGGGAGGAGAGTCCATTTATTACGACGAACAGAGCAAGTTTGTGTGTAACACGGAGCAGCCGGGCTGCGAGAACGTGTGTTACGATGCTTTCGCTCCTCTTTCGCACGTCAGGTTTTGGGTCTTTCAGATCATTCTCGTTGCCACTCCCTCTGTGATGTACTTAGGCTACGCCATACATAAAATCGCCCGGATGGTGGAACACAGCGAAGCCGACAGAAGAATCAGAAGCAAAGGTTTTTCCATGCGCTGGAAACAACACCGCGGCTTAGAGGAAACTGAGGAGGACCACGAGGAAGACCCGATGATGTACCCAGAAATAGAGCTGGAGAGTGAGCGGGAGAATAAAGAGCAGCCAGCCCCTGCCAAAGCAAAGCACGATGGCAGGCGGCGGATCCGGGAGGATGGACTCATGAAAATTTATGTCCTGCAGCTCCTGGCGAGGACTACCTTTGAGATCGGCTTCCTCGTGGGGCAGTATTTTTTGTACGGCTTCGAGGTCAGCCCCATCTTTGTGTGCAGCAGGAAGCCGTGCCCGCACAAAATAGATTGTTTCATTTCCAGGCCAACCGAAAAGACCATTTTCCTGCTAATAATGTACGGGGTGAGCTGCATGTGTTTGCTTTTGAATGTCTGGGAGATGATCCATTTGGGATTTGGCACAATCCGGGACACGTTGAACAACAAGAGAAAGGAGCTGGAAGACTCCGGTACCTACAACTACCCTTTTACTTGGAACACACCATCTGCTCCTCCTGGCTACAACATCGCCGTGAAGCCAGAGCAAATGCAATACACCGAGCTGTCCAACGCCAAAATGGCCTACAAACAGAACAAAGCCAACATCGCTCAGGAACAGCAGTACGGCAGCAACGAGGAGAACATTCCTGCCGACCTGGAAAATCTGCAGAGGGAAATCAAAGTGGCTCAGGAGCGCCTGGACCTCGCCATCCAGGCTTACAACAACCAAAACAACCCCGGCAGTTCCAGAGAGAAGAAATCCAAAGCAGGCTCCAACAAAAGCAGCGCCAGTAGCAAGTCGGGAGATGGGAAGAACTCTGTCTGGATTTAATGTTGGCTGAGTTTATATATTGTGATTTTTCTCCTAGTTTATCATAACCAGCAACCCCTTGAATAATGGCTTCCATTAAGTAAATATTTGACTCTGCTTATTTTCAGGGATACCGTTGGCTAGTGATTCAACCTCTCAGAAAGGGTTTATACGCATATTCTAGGATAATAGAACTTTATTCTTCTGTCTTCCAAGTCAGGAGACAAATAGGTATATTTAAATCATTCTCATTGAACGGTTTATGCTGTATGTACAGTATTATAGTACATTTATTATGCACAATTTTTTGTATTTGTACACTGGATCTCTCTGACGTTACAGGTTTTTTTTATATAAACGAGCAGAAAGCGATGGGTAGCTGTTAGCATTTTGCTAGTTTTATTACCGTGGTCTCTGCAGTTTCGTCGTTGTTCTTCTTTTAAACGTAAAACTTTTCTATGCTGCGTTTCAGAAGTGCCTTGAACGTGCAGAGGGAGGAGTCTCTGGTGTTGGGGCAGCCCAGGGGTGCTGCTCCCTGAGCAGTGGAGCAGGGAACCGTCGGAAAACATCTGTTAATGGTGCTCTTGACTCTGTCTTTTACAAAAACGATGTGCTGCTTATCAAATGGAAGTGGTGTGCTAGCGCTGTCACGTGCCACGGGGTTGGGTTTTTTCGCCCCATGGAAAAATTACTTCCAGGAAAATGTATGTGTGTGAGAGAGCACTTGTGTTCAGAGTAAGGTGCCAGCCATATCGCAGAGAGGGCTCCAGCCTCCCTGCCAGCTTTATGCAACAGGAGGGAGGAGAGACTGCAAACTCTTGTAAAACATCCCCCCCCCCTGCCAAAAAAAAGTAAATGGAAATTACTGGATTCAGTAATTCCACATATTTATGTGATATCTATGGAAATGGATGTCTTTGAGGTCTGTTGTTACATAAAGCCCCGCTCCCCACAGGCATGAAGTTGTTCCAGTACCTTTTGGAGAAGATTTCTGTCTTTTCCAAAGTAATCTGGGGAGATGGAGGCATGGTAATTCTGTCTCTCTGTGCATTACACTCGAGGAATAACCTTCCTCTCCCCCGGCCAGGACACACGAGCTGTCTGTAAGAGTTTTTACAAAGCCCTTTCCGAATATCAATGATATTGCCTTATTCCAGACCCCTCTTCCTTCCATGATGTCGGTGGGATTTAGTTCAGACAGAGCAATGTGTATAATTTAGATTTCTGCTTGAGAGACCAGTCAGATTTGGCATTCTGTGGTTTTGGCATTAAACTTGAATTTATAATTAGAAAAAGGAGAATGCGGTTTTTACTGCCTTTGGCAGTGTCTTTTTGGCAAGGATGAGCATTAATGTTTGAGAGACGCTGATAAATGTGTATGCTTTTTGCTACTATTTATAATGTATTCGGGACCTTGCTCCGCTCTCTTTTTTTGTTGTTGTTGTTTTTTTATTAGGTTTTCGTGCATTTTAATATATTTTTGGGGCCTGTTTCAAGCGGGACTGTTGTGTTTAGAGGCTACCTCAGTCCTTAGTGCCCTCGTTACAGCCTGGTCAGAGCAGGATGGAGACGTGAGGCTCCGTGGAGGACACAGGCAAACCCTGCTCCCTTCCTGCGCCCCTGGACATCCCAGCACAGGCTTTATGTTTGGATTCAAACTAAGGGGATACGAGCACATGTTTGCAGTTATCCTCTACCCAAGCACTTGTTGAAAATAGGTATTTTGCTGAAAATAGGTATTTTGTTGAATTGTTCTCAGTCTGTTTTCGCTCTGGCACACCGGGCAGCCCAGGTGTGGGTCCCAGCTCTCTCTCTGCTCTGCTTTCGAGCGGCGTAAGTGTGTCCAGAGCCACCACGATGCCCTGTGCAGGGTCAGCCAGAGCTTCTCCAGGTCCTCTCCAGCAGAGACGTTTGGAAGCCAACTTGCTTTTTGGCTCTTGTTTAGCGGCAGCTCCTGGCTGCTGCTCCAGTGAGGGAGCAACCTCTGAATTTGGGGCAGAAAAGTTTCAGGGTGATGTCTTTAAGTAAGTGTAAGTGACACAGTAAGTAGACAGCAGTTTTTGAAAGCTTGAGTGGACTTGTGGATGGGGACAGCTCTCTGGTGAGCTGGGACCCACTGCATGGGGTGAGAGGGAGGTTATTAGCAGTGCTCCTCTAATTAAAGAGCAGCCTGGAGAGGAGCACGCTGCCTGGAGATGGGCAGGGAGGCTTTGCCAGCGGAAAGCTGGGAGTGGGATGGAAAAGCTGAGTGGAAAATGTGTTGTCAGAAAGTACTAGGGAGAGGCATTTGGAGCCTGGAGATAAACTGGATTGTGGCTACAATCCGCTCATTGTCCCCCGCTGCTGGGCTGGTCTTTCCAGGATCCCAAGAGGGTGACGTTGCTCTTAACCCTTTGCGGTGGCTTCGCAGCCGCCTTTCGCCAGCCGAATGGCGAGAAGTGAAGATCCTTTCCCCTGGCTGCTCTCTGTGCAGACTGCAGCCATTTCTTACTCCTGGCTTAAAACAAAACCGGTCCATGGTCCATGACAGATGCTTCACCCCTTGTTTCTATTAACCCTTTCCCAAGTAACGATCTGAACCGTTACCTGCTTAAAGCTCCTGTCTCGGGTCCGTCCCGTGAGCTTTTGTCCACACCAGTCAGTCCTGCCCCTAGCAAGCAGAGTGTGTAGAGTATTCCAATCCCAGCACCGAGTTCATTCCGAAAATGCCAAGTAATGGAGTTGTTTCTATTACTATTTGTCTGGTTTAATTTAAATTGTGTATAGAGTGCACATTTTCTTTGAAACTGAGTGTTTGTTATTAGTAGGGGATGTCTGTTAAAGCTCTTAAGTGTTCATGTCTGTGACTTTATTCAGTTTCAAAGTACGGGCTTGATTTTGCCTTTTGAAGAAATGATACATGCATTACTTTAAAATGCTCTCTTGCTTTGGCTTAATGCAGGCCATTCCGAAATAAACGTTCAGAAGAGACTTTTGGACAAAAAAAAAAAAAAAACTGAACATAACGTGGGTTTGTCTTGTCATTCTCTGGTTTTGGATGCAGTTTGGAAAAAAAAATAATCTATTAAATCCAGTGGATTACTCCAGTCTGAGTGAGATGGTTCTTTTTTCCAGCAATAGAATATCCAAGCGAGGGAGAGGAGTATTTTAATGATTTGTTATAGCCAGAACTTGGAATTTTTGTATATTTGACCTTGTTTAGCGTAATAAAGGGTCGGTCAGAAACTAGCTGTGCCTTCCTGTATGCAAATTGCTCTTCAGTGACAAGAACAATTGCATCAAAAAAAAAAGAAAAATCCACAAACTTTGGAAGTCAGACCTTGAGCAGGGTCCCACTTACGAAAACAGGGAAATCTGCATTTATGCATATGAATGAGCGTGCTGATATTGTCCAGTGAACTGTGCCGCATTAGCTGGCCTAATTTAGCTGTGGTTTTGCACGGAGCACACGGGATCTGGCTGCCCAGCTCCCTTTGAACCTCACAGCTGAATGTGTTGCCGTCGCACAAGGTGGCTTTTGTGAGCGTCCCGTGCTGTCCCCGCGCCGCGGGCTTGGCTCAGCCTGGGGAGCGTGTCCGAGGGGGCAAGTCAGACCTTGAGCAGGGTCCCACTTACGAAAACAGGGAAATCTGCATTTATGCATATGAATGAGCGTGCTGATATTGTCCAGTGAACTGTGCCGCATTAGCTGGCCTAATTTAGCTGTGGTTTTGCACGGAGCACACGGGATCTGGCTGCCCAGCTCCCTTTGAACCTCACAGCTGAATGTGTTGCCGTCGCACAAGGTGGCTTTTGTGAGCGTCCCGTGCTGTCCCCGCGCCGCGGGCTTGGCTCAGCCTGGGGAGCGTGTCCGAGGGGGCTGTGGGGGCTTTGCCCTCCCCTCCAGCTGCTGCTGTCCCCGCGCCGCGGGCTCGGCTCAGCCTGGGGAGCGTGTCCGAGGGGGCTGTGGGGGCTTTGCCCTCCCCTCCAGCTGCGAAAGCGAGAAGGGAGATGGATGCGGCGGTGTGGGCTTGGAATAAAAAAGCTGTTTGTTAAAGGAAAGTTGAAAGAGTTAAAGGGAGAAGCGGCCGTACAGACAGGAGAGCGCTGCTCCCGCTCAGCAGGGCCTCCTGCCCTCGGCCAGGGCTGCGGGGGCAGAAATGGTGATGGAGGCAGGATCCAGCAGTGATAACGCTGGGCTCCCCAGTTCAAGAGGGACAGGGAGCTACTAGAGAGAGTCCAGCGAAGGGCAACAAAGATGATTCAAGGATTGGAGCATCTCCCTGATGAGGAAAGGCTGAGAGAGCTGGGACTCTTTAGTCTGGAGAAGAGAAGGCTGAGGGGAGACCTTATCAATGCCTACAAGTATCTCAAGGGTGGGTTGAAGGAGGAGGGAACCAGACTCTTTTCAGTGGTTCCCAGTGAGAGGACGAGGGGCAACGGGCACAAGTTGGAACAGAAGAGGTTCCACTCAAATATGAGGAGAAACTTCTTCACAGTGAGGGTGGCAGAGCCCTGGAACAGGCTGCCCAGGGAGGGTGTGGAGTCCCCTTCCTTGGAGATTTTCAAGCCCCACCTGGATGCTCCTGAGTAACATGCTCTGACAAGCTCTAGGCAATCCTGCTTCAGCAGGGGAGTTGGACTAGATGATCTCTACAGTCCCTTCCAACTCTAAAAAATTCAGTGAAATTCAGTGTTTTTCAGCTTTGCAGTTACCCGAGCATCCCGCAGCTTCTGCAGACTGGGAGACGCATGCGGAGCAGGGAGCAGCCCAGGTACCACCACCAGCCCAGGCAGGCGGGAGACACACGTGCGGAGCAGGGACCAGCCCAGGTACCACCACCAGCCCAGGCAGGGTAAGGCTGGGCTGAGCCACGCGGCGCGGGTTCAGGGATAACCGAGGAGGTGCCGCGTCACCCCTGCTGCACCGGGAGGATGCTTGGCCTCGCCGGTATCGTGGTAAGCACAGGGATAACCGGGGAGGTGCTGCATCACCCCTGCTGCACCGCGAGGATGCTTGGCCTCGCCGGTATCGTGGTATCATTAAGCATGTGATTATCTCCCTGTGAGTCAGTGCAGCCAGTGGCAGGCGTCCAGCTAAGTGTTCGGAGTGACAGAAGCCTTTGTGTATCGAGGAATTTGCAGGAAGAAATTCTCAAAGGCCTCAGGTGTTTGAGCAGAACTGACAAGGAGGGGTGAGGCTGCCATACGTGCTCGGGGTCGGAGCAGCCGTGGCGTGAAGGTGGGGTTTGGTCCCGGGCTCAGGCCGGGAGTGGAGGACCCCGAGGTGGAAGCTGGGATCGACGCCGTCACCCCCGGCATGCCTGGGTCGCTCCCCACGGACACAGGCTGCCGGGGGGGTGTCCCTGCCTCTCTGGGGTGGCTCCAGCTGCTGCTCCGACAGGGCGCATGGCCC